GAAAAGTCTAGTAAATTTCATGTCAATTTTCCTTGCAAATGTGTGATTAAAAACAAAAGTGCAAGGAGCAAAACAAGTTGATCAGCTTATCAAGTCACAATTAAAGGCGCTCATTAAAAAGTATGAAATTAAAGATAGAAAAGCTTTGCTGAATTATGTCAAATGGTAAAGTGTGAAAGAGCTTACTCCAGAAGTTCATGAGATACAACACTTGGACAAATATAATATAAATATAAACACGTGGAAGCTTGAGTCACCTGATGGATGAGCGGCTTCGGATGTTATCAGTCCATCAAATGGCCGTTATTAGTTATTATCATCTGCATATGTAGCAGTCAAACTGTCCCACCTACCTCCTAGTAGGTTTAAAGCTTTAATTATTGTTATTATTGCTGATAATAGGCAGCGTCGCACGGGGGTAAACTAGGAAGTGTCTTTTTTGTTTTTTTCCCAGCTTATGTAACCCTTTTCCTAAACGTAAGCTTACACCTGACCCTGAGGACCAACCCTAAACTTAACCCCCTTACCCTTGTGCCTAAACCTAACCAAGACCGTAAACCTAACCGCCAGACCCTTTACTCTAAACCTAACCACGTGAAGCTATTATCATCGCTAACAACGCTAACAACGTACCTTTAAACCCACTAGGAGGTACAGGAGGAGCAGTCTGACCACTACATATGGAGATGATAACAACTAATAACAGCCTTTTAATGGCTGATATGATCTGAAGAGGGTGGATGGATCCACATCAGCTAGTCGTGGTCTGAGGAACAGTCATGTCACGGCTGAACAAGCATCGACTCTCTGAGACCATGTTTAGGCAGAAATATGAGTCAATCTGCTATCTAATGAAAAAGAAAGAAAATAGAACGAGTAAAACAACTGTCAAGAATAAATGTCAGGGATCAACCAGGGCTGTGGAGTTCTTTTTATTTATTTGTCAAAGCTCTTCTTTTAACTTTAATATTTAATAAAAGATGTATTACTTTTTGATCTATTTCTGTCTGGTCTTCATGACTTTGTAATGAGTACCATTAAATTTTGAACAAACTGACCTAATTTTAATATCCCATGCTTTATTGTTTTAAAGAGGGTACTTAATTTTATTTTTTCAAAATTCCTAAAATATTTTTATTTTTATAATGTAACGAGCAAAAAAGAAAACTATATTCAATATTTAACACTTGGTGAGTTGTGATATCTTTACATAAAGCCTCATGCACAGAGGTCACCACTGCCACTGGCCAACAAATGGCCCCCACCAAACTGAAATTGGCCCGTGAGCCAACAGTTGGTTTAGTGAGAGAAAGGGCAGAAATGAGCACGTTTAATTTGAAAGAGACTCCTGTTCTAAACCGAAGGCCATTCTCCATCTTTGGATCTAAACTGACCAATTTTCTATTTTGCATCCCCAACCTTCAGGCTCACGTTTCCTGTCCTGCTTTGATCTCCCCTCCCCCCCCCCCCCCCCCCACGCTTCTGACAGATGGGATCATAAGACCCCGGCAAAGAAACTGCTGCTTGGACACATCTGTCTGACAAGGTGAGAACATCTGCAGAGGAAAGACAATAGTGACTGAACTGCCCCCACACAACCTGCTCCCACTCACCCACTTGGCTTATACATATTGACTGACAGCCTAATGCAACACCTCCCCCCCCCCCCCCCCCAACACACACACACACACATACACACACACACAGAAGACATAAGTGTGTGTGTGGGGGTGGGGGGATTTTAATAGAGTGTGTTCCAAACATAAGCCCTACAGGAGAGCTTTAAAATTTGAAGTGGTAGAACATCTTGTGTTGGCGTCCCCGTAACTTCATTGGACTCCCAGCATGCAATGCTGTCAGTGCGCCTCACAATGTGGCTGACAGCACAGCTGCAGAGAAGGAAAATGGAGTCTAAAAGATTTATAGCCTAAATGATCACAGATCTACATTTCAAATACTAATCCCCAGTCTGTGTCTCCTGTTTCCAGATGGTTTAGCTCTGAAGGAGTTTTTTTCTCTCCTGAGGATAATATTGCAACTAGATTTCATAATTTGACAAGTTGGGAAGAATGCTGGTGTTGTAAACTGGCTAAAGGAAATGTGTGGAATCAGAGGCAGAATTAGTCATTTTCAGCTGCGAGTCAAAACACAGGAACGGAGCCCTCTATTCCCTTTCTGCTTGCTGCTGTTCAAACCATATTAATCTGCTTATATTTATGAAATGAACATTTCAGATTTCTCAAATGGACTGCCTGTTATAAAATAACAGCACACTGTCTCTTCCAGGTGCTAAAGGAACATTTTTATTGTTTCTTTAACAAATAAAAAAGTCTGGCATGTGTGAAGTACATGGCTAGCACAGCAAATCTGGCATGTATGTGTGAGCACCCCAACAAGAGTTATGCCAACAATTTTTCATAACAAACACCTTTAGTGTAAAGTAAAAATAAATGGAAGTGGTATTTTAACACTCCAAAGAGAGAACACATTTAGACACAGGAAGCAGTGATCTAATTAGTTTTGTTAGGTATGTGTATTTAACTCTCAGCTCCAGATATCTGGAAGTACTTTCTTCCTAATTCTCAATTTCTGAATCATAAAAAATACAGCAAGAAAGTCACTTTTCAGATCATTTACATCATAGTTATTGCCGATCATGTTACATTTTCAACATTACCAACATTCACCATTCATTATTTCACTGTACATTCTGTACATCGATGCGGCTCCCAAACATTTGAGTAACCCCCCACAACACACGCACGCACGCACACACGCACACCAACACACGCACGCACACACACACACACACACACACACCAAAGGCAAAGACTTGCTTCCGCTGCGATGAGTTACTGTTGACAAAATGAAAATGTTTTCTCAACCAGCCGGTCGAAGCAGATGTTCGCTCGTCCTGAGCCTGGTCCTGCTGGAGGTTTCTTCCTGTTAAAGGGAGATTTTCTTTCCACTGTCTCCTTTGTGCTCGCTCAGGATGGGAGACTGTGATGAAGTGCAAATTCAACACAAGCGTCTGCTTCCTTATATAGATAACTTTTACTAATTGGCTTTTTAATGTTTGTGAATGTTTTTGTTCAGTGCCCTGAGACAACTTCGGCTGTGACTTGGCACTTTTTAAATAAACTGAATTGAACAGAATTAAAATACAAATGGCCTAAATTACTATACATATTCTGAAGATAATCTCAGGTTTCCCAACTTGATGTTTTTTAACACACTATCTTGTCCAGAACCCGGATTTTGGGAACCACTGCTGTAAATATTTGTATTTACATTATTATGTAATGTAATACATTATTGTTCCTGTCAGGGATTTATTTTATTTTTTTAGTCACAATGTGAACTCTTCATAATGGTACATTTACTTGTTGTAATGCTTTTTGTTTGTGTGTTTATTTATTAGTTTGCTTTTATATTAGTGTTAAAGCTGACTCAAGAGTCACACACTTGTTTTCCTTCAACACGTTTATTGTAATTTAACTACTTGAGTATATTTCGTATAGTTTCAACCTTTCTATAGCAAGATGTTCAGCGTATTCAGGGTGCAAGGACTTCTTTTTGCTGTAACTCTTATTTATTTATTTTTAATATTAAACTTCATTTAAAAATATTTTTACCATAGCATCACATACAAATCTTGATTTTTAAAATTTGCATTTTTTGTTATACTTTTATTTATATTTAAAGCTACTGTTCTGCTGCTTTAAGCTTTTACTGAGCTTCTGCTTTTAACGTCTTGATCATTTTAACTAGCCTTTAAAACTTTCTTCCTTTAGCTAGTGTTTAGACAAGCCTTTTTGTCATTTTAACTTTTAGTGAGCCTTTGTTACTTCAGGTTGTAGTTGTTTATATTTGTTGTTGTTGTTTTTCACAAGTGTTTTGATACGTTAATGTTTAGCTAACTGTTAGTTATGTATGGGTTTGTTACTTTTAGCTTGTGTTTTTTGCAATCATCAGTTTTAGTACTTTTCACCTTTAGTTTTGCTCTGTAGGTTTTCATTAGTGGTCTTTTTTTAACTTTAGGCAAGTCCTTTAGCTTGAATTATTCAGTTTCAGCTTCTTCAGCAAATTTTAGCGAAGTCCTTCAGAACTCAGCGTCTACATTTTTGCCTAAAATGCACATCTTGTTAAATAACGGCTTTCTTTGATAGATATCCTGCGTTAAAAACCCTGTTTGTTTGATGAATCCTTTGTGGGGTATTTTTCATGCAAAGCACCTGTTAGATTGTTAGATGCAGTAATAACTTGTTTCATTTAACCTTAATTAGCATTACCAGTGCCAATATACAGCTCCTTATTTGTGCGATCAGGGCAACTTTGCCATGTTTGTTACAGCCATGGTTGTAACTGTGGTACTGTTCACTCAATGTAAAGCGGAAGGTGTGTGTGTGTGTGTGTGTGTGTCTGTATGTGTGTGTGTGTGTGTGTGTGTGTGGGGGGGGGGGTTAATGCTAATGAAGTCTTTTTTTAGATGAAATGTGCTCGAACTCACTCACGCGCCTACACGCAGGCTCTCTCCATGGCGCACAGCTCTGATGAACGCAAATCACCTGCAGAGGCAGGTGCACGTATGCTCGTGCGCGCGCACACACCAGCAGTTGGACACACACACACACACACACACACACACACACACACACACACACACAGTCTGCACTGGCATGGTGAAAACTTGGGAGTAGCAGCATGACATGTCTCCATCATGAACACGCAGCGCGTGTAACATCCGAGCAACAGACCCGTTGAAAAAACGTATCTGCTTAGTTATTTCAATTATTTTATTCTATAACAGAAAATCTACATGTACGTTTTTTCTGCCTGTATTCTTTCACACGAACACATCTGTCTGATCCTGCGGGGAAAATGAAACCTCGCGGTTCAACTGGGAGCCCACCAAGTTGGAAAGTATAAAAGATGAAGCACGATGTGCAGCGACACTTCCCACATGTTCCGCCGCGTGATTTAAAGCTCGCTCAACTTACCGATGACAGCCAGCTGCAGGAAGTAGAGTCCGAGCAAGTCCATTGCTCTGGGCGAGTTTCAATGCAATCCCAGCTGGAAGGTGACGTGTAGGAATAAAAGCCTCCTCTGTTGGAACTGGCACCGAAGTCAGGACCAAAAGACTCGCAGCTATTTCTCAAGAGACGCTTGGCCACTTGCAGAGACACGAGAATCCTCAGCAGCCGTGCACAACATCCTGTTTTTAACAAACTTTTCTCTCCCCAGAAATTTAAAAATACCATCAAAATACAGGATGGGGTTGTAATAATTTGCTGCCTGTGTGGAATAAATGTCTAGCTTAATGCGCATGCCAGAGTGCTTTCATCAGATCCGTTCCGTGCGGCTGTTTTCTCCTCCTCGCCTCCACCTGAGCGCGCGCGCGATCGAACTGCGGATGCATCCGAGGCGCATCATGTGTGCGCTCTGCGACCTGCAGGCATCAGCTGGTCCCAGGCTGGCCGGCCGAGGATCAGCCCAGCACAGCTGGCTTAAAAAACAGAAGAGGGAGAGAAAAATCAATGTTGGCCAAAGTTGAAAAAGAGCAACTTGAATCGATAGCCTGTTTCATATCACCAACTGGAAATAACCAGCATGAGTAAAATGCTGCATAGCTGGATGTAGCTCAATATAGATGTAGGTCAAATATAAATCACTAACCCCACCCTAAATATTAATAATGAATATCCATCTGTTAACCCATCCATCATCTTCCACTTGTTCTGAAGTCAGGTCACCGGGGCAACAACCTGACCAAGGAGGCCCAGACATCTCCTTCCACACACACCTCTTCTAGCTCTTATGGGGGGATCCCAAAGTTTTCCCAGGCCAACCGAGAGAGGTAGTCTCTACAGCATCTCCTGGGTCTTCCCTGGGGTCTCCTCCCAGTTGGACATGCCCAGTGCACCTCCCTAGGCAGGGGCCCAGGAAGCATCCTTGCCAAATGCTTGAACCACCTCAATTGGCTCCTCTCGATGTGAATGAGCAGTGGTTCTACTCCGAGTCTCTCCCTGTTAACTGAACTTCTCACCCTATCTCTAAGGGAGTCTAGCTACTCTACAGAAGAAACCCATTTAAATTGTCTGTATCCACTATCTCATCCTTTTAGTCACTACCCAGAGTTCATGACCACAGGTGAGGGTAGGAACCAGTGGCAGCTGGCCAATAGAGGACGCTGTGGTGCCACCCCACCACTCAATAGATTACACATTCCACACTGTTGGAGTCAGCCTCCCCACCATCACAGACATTTACACCTCTAGATGCAGGAAGAGAGCCACCTACATCATGAAGGACACCACTCACCCAGCACACACACTTTTTGCCCCGCTCCCCTAAGGAAGGAGGTTGAGGAGCATTAAGTATAGATCCACTAGACTGAGGACTAGCTTCTACCCTGAGGCTGTTGGACTCATGAATCTCCGATCAGGAGAATCACTGTGAAAACAATCATGTTGCTGCTGATCTGTTTCATGTTGATGTGTTCATGCGTGCTCATCTGCTCACACAGACTCATGCTCATGTTCGTGCTGCTGTTCGACATAATGTTTTTATGCTATTTATGCTATTAGTGCTTAATGTATTTTAAATTATTTGCAGTATTTGCAGTTTGACTCCCATCACCCTTTGGAGCACAAGTTAGGAGTCATCAGGACTCTGTACCACAGAGCAGACAGCGTCCCCACTAGCTCAGGAGCCAGGCAGAAGGAGAAATCCTACACAAAACAGGCTCTAGAGCAATGTGGATATCCTAACTGGGCCTTCCTGAAAGCAGAGAAGAAACCCAAACAGGACTCCAGTCAGCCATCAGGTGAAAAGGAGGAACCCAGACCCAGACCCAGACCAGTGGTCATTCCATATGTTGAGGGAGTATCAGAGAAACTGAGACGTTTATTTTCTAAACATAACGTCCCAGTGGCTTTTAAACCCCAAAATACATTAAAGACTGGTTCATCCCAAAGATCCAGTCCCCCGGCACAAACAGAGTAATGTTGTGTATGCTTTAAGAAACTGAGCTGAATACAGCACCTCAGACTGAGGAAGTCTTTCGGATGAGAGACGAAACGTATCTACATTCTTTTGCTTTGTTTTGTTTTTTTGAATGTCCAGAAGACCAGATTGAATTTTTTTTTTCATTTTTCTACCAGGATTATTGAGCATGCATCAGGATATTGTGTATGCTGTTCAGTGTCAGGAGGGCTGTGATCAGTCTTACATCGGGGAAACTAAACAGCCACTGGCCAAAAGGATGGCCCAGCACAGAAGATCAACATCATCAGGCCAGGATTCTGTGGTCTACACTCATCTCCAGGCCAGCGGTCACTCTTTCAGGGATGAAGATGTTCACATCCTGGATAGAGAGGAACGATGGTTTGAGAGAGGAGTAAAGGAGGCCATCTTTGTGAAAAGAAACCGTCCATCATTAAACAGGGGTGGAGCCTCCGGGTTCAACTGTCCCCCTCTTACAATGCTGTGATTGCTAGTATCACTCAGCCCTCTGTGAACAGTAAACAGCCATCAGTGTGCTAATGATCCATTGTTAGGCTGATGGTCCTTCTTGAGCATGTGATCAGCTGGTTTTGGTTGTCAGCAGCAAAACTGGTTGATCCACTCTGAGAAGGTGCTATTTAAGAGACTGAGCTGAATACAGCACCTCAGACTGAGGAAGTCTCTCGGATGAGAAACGAAACATTTCTACATTTTTTTGTTGTTTTGCTTTGTTTTGTTTTTTTGAATGTCCAGAGGACCAAATTTAACTTTTTTTTAGATTTTTCTACCTGGATTATTGAGCATGCATCAGAATATTTCTGGATTAGCGGGTTTGTAAAATGTGCTAAAGTCAAAGAAAATAATGTTCACAGTGCATTTCCCCTCATCTAGGTAGGGAGGATCAAATGGAGTAGATAAATGGTAAATAGAATGGACTGTATTTATACAGCGCCTTTCTCTCTGCTCAAGATACTCAAAGCGCTTTACACAATGTGTGCCTCATTGATCCATTCATACAGCTCTATACTAGATCTGTACAAAGCCAATTGAACAAATCATTCTAAAGAGACTAATCAGAGGTTTATCACATTCATACACCGATGGGACACACATCAGAGGCAACGAGGGGTTCAGTGTCTTGCCCAGGGACACTTGGGCATGTGACTGCTGGTGGATTTGAACCCCCGACTCTTGCATTAGCGGACAACTGCTCTAACCACTCAGCCACAGCCGCCCCATAAATAAAGAAGAGCATCATCATCTCCCACATTCTCCTGATAGGCAAACTGGATTGGGTACTGGACTTTCTTTATGTAAGTATTCACAGGTGAAGAATCTGACACTCTAGTGCACATGTGTCAAACTCAAGGCCCAGGGGCAATGTGGCCCTCGTGAACATCTTATCTGGCCCCCAAGATGATATGTTAAACATAAAATACTTTTATCACTTGCATTTTTCAGTAATCTTTGATTTTGATGTCAAAAGTACAACAGAGAATGCCAAATGAGACCAATCAAACTCTTGTTGAGGAACCAGCAACCAATAAAAGATGTTGGGAATCTAACTTGAGTTAATGTAGATTCTGAAACCGGCCCTTAGTTCGAAAAATGTTTTAATTTTGGCCCCTCTTTTGAGCCTTCCATAAAGAGGGAACCTTTCCCAGTCACAAGCTAAAAACAGTACATGCAAAAGAGGCTTCCCCAATTCAGTAGCATGGGATCTAAGGAGTCTGGGACAAACTCATCTGTACCAGCGGCCTTTGTAGGGTGAATTCTCTTCTAATCTGCTGTACAGTGATAGAGGGGGGCTCCGTTTCTTTTTAAGATGTTCAGACAATATTTTGAATTTGTTAATGTTATTTTTTTTTCTTTTTGATTTATTGCGTTATAAACTCATAATTTCATTGAGATGAAACAACATTTTAGATTTTACAGAGTATATGAGCACAGACTAACATGATTTCAGTTAAAGTTGACCCCAAATTAGCATACTGCAGAGGCGGAGTCAGGCATACAAAAGGCACGTGTTTTATTTACAGGTGTAGGTGATATTCATGGCTGAAAGGTAAAAAAGACAAGGTGTGGGAGATCTACTTTCTGCCAGCCACAATCATTTTCTCCCATAGCTGCAGCCAATGAAAGTCAGCCACCACAACACAACTGACCCTGATTTGGAGGACTCTACAGGAGCATAAAACTTCTGCCTTGACTTGTCTTGATTGTGTCCAAAATACTAATCAAAGCCTTCAGCCTGAAGAACCAGTCTTCACCCTCTACTCAACCTGCTCCTCTCTCCAACAGTACTCACATCTTTTCCATTACGGACCTCCTGGAACCTAGGACCTCACAGCTCTCCCCTCGGGCTCCAACTACAAGAAAAACATATTCAGTAAGACAATCTAAATCCACAACTAAATAAATGATGATTCAAAGACATCTCCAGATTCTCACCTTGTCCCTTCTTCCTTTTCAGCCCCAAACCTTTGCACCTGTAGACACGTATTTTGGTAACTCTGTCTCAGTCTTTCTAGCAGTTTGCCAATTGCTGTCAACATTTAACTAAAATTGTGTTACAAGGTGAGTATTGAGATTCTTTCTGGTTAGAGGAGATAATAACTCCTGTTTGCCAATATGGTTTCCTTACTGTTGTTTGCATTTGTATGCAGCTGTGGCTGAGTGGTTAGAGCAGTCGTCCTCCAATGCAAGGGTTGGGGCCTCGAATCCGCCAGCAGTCATATGCCGAAGTGTCCCTGGGCAAAACACTGAACCCCTCGTTACATCCAATGTGTGTCCCATCGGTGTATGAATGTGATAAAGCTCTGATTAGTCTCTTTAGAATTATTTGTTCAATTAGCTTTGTAGAGGTCTAGTAGAGTGCTGTATGAATGGATAGATGGGGGCACAGATTGTCGTGTAAAGTGTTTTGAGTATCTCCATAAGATAGAAAGGTGCTAAATAAGTACATTCCATTTACAATTTGTAGATGGAGCCGAAGAGGACGAAGAGGCGAGCTCCTAGGTTTCCACAGGGTGGGGGTG